ATTTTTATCTCTAACGATCACGTGTTCGTATTTCGGCCTCTATTTCCCTCCGAGCAAACCTCATCTCCTTTTATCAGCCCCCTTTTTTTTTTTTTTTTTTTTTATTCTTGCTTCCTCGGATGCTTTCGGAAACAGATCTTCTCGCTATGGCCGAATTTCTTGCATATAATGCATGCGTGAATTCTGCCGCAGTTTTTCTCTTCGGGGCACGATCGACGGTTCCAGTTGATGCAAATTTCCTTCCCATCAGCCCATTGTGTATTTGGCCACGTAGTACGGCGCCACCCTTCCTTTGATCTTTTTGCTGTCGTTGCATCGAAAATTTTACCTTCTGCTTCGACGCTTCTTTCTATTAGAGTTGAGTCACGGTCCATTACTAATGCTACCCTTCGTTCTTCGTCATACTTCATAACTGCAGCAAACTCATATTTAACGCACAGCTCATTTATATGATCACGGTACGAGTTCAGCTCTTGTTCACGGATATCGTATATCACTAGAACCGCATCCATATATGCCTTGAATGCCATAAGCCATTCTGATATATTTTCAACCATTGTGGTGCGTTTCCGTTTCCTTATGTATAAAGCGCCGCCATCTGCCATTTCTAGTGTTGTATCGTTGTCTATATCTTTTGCACTGTCGATCAAGCTTTTCTGCATGAATTCTTGCAGGTTTACAAATGCGCCAAATGCAATGGTTTTCCACAATTTGCTACTTAGACTAGGCTTCTGCGGGAGCATTTCTAACAATCTCTGCCCCTCCGTCCAATTCATAACCCACCAAAGCCGAATTCGTTCTGTTTCGGCAGCTTTTTGATTTTGGAAACCCTGGATTGTTGGAATTTCTTTGATTGCTTCATAGTTTATAGTAGGGTATTTTCTGGCCGTCGATTTATATGATCTAACCCTATTCTCACCTACTTCCTCCAAACTTGCTTTAATTATCAGATTGTTGATGACTGGGGATGGGGGGTAGTTACCTTGTGACGTACTCGTGTCTCTATTAATTTCAACGGTGCTTTGCTGGTTTCCTTCTGCCGTGGTAAGGCCGATATCATTACCCTGGTTGCCGCTGATGTTGTCGTTTTGCAAATTCATTTGTTCGAGTCGCCCAAACCTCTGGTTAATTGTCTCCATGTATTGTGAATTCCATTGCCTCTGAGTTTCGATTTGTCGGTCCATTAGCTGCTGCATGTTTCGCATTATGGCCGCTGCCGTTGATTGAATTACTGAGTCTATGTATAATTTTGTTTGATTATCTATACTTCCATCCGAAACTTGAATGTCTTGACTTTGGCTTGCTGATGAAGCTATGGTTTCCGAGGATTCGTTAGAAATTGAGCTTTCATTTCTTGTAATTGTAGAGTTACGCGTGCCCTTCTTGCTCATCATGCGAATTTGCTTCCTTTCTGGGCTGCCACATTCCACCCTAGCGTCCGTGCATTTATACCTACAATGAATCTCTGTC